ATTTTGAAAATCAAACACCATTTCAAGCCTTTACACACACATGTACAAATGCAGTAAGGTCATGTTTGTTTGGGTGGACATGAGCTTGAGATTGGACTAATAATCCAATAAAATTATTAATCCGATATTTGATTAAACAATTGAAGTACAGACTAATAATTTTAAACTTGACTATTAGTTAAGATAGGATATATAATCCAACGGATTCGTAGTCCTAGGACTATTAGTCATGGGAATGCTAATTCAATCCGTCCAAACAAACATGGCCTAATTGAAACTCTAGTAAAGTGTAAGAGAGAGAGTAGAGAGAGATAGAGAAAGGAGTGTAAGTCTCATCTTCATATAAATACTCTCTACATTATTAGAGTTGCATTAAAACTCACAAGTTAAAACTCTAAAACATTATCATTACGAAGACAGTGATAGCGTGCCCTCCAAAGTCATGTCATGGAAAAAGATATATTCTTTTTGTAATAAATAAAAAGTTATATTTTTATGATGAAAAAAATCTTACAGTTTTCTAATAAAGGTCACTTTATTTTTATTTTACTTCTTTTCAACAACGAAAAGAATACAGGACCACATGGACTTCGTGGTGGGCTGGTCCATGATGGATAATTGGAGTGGGGGATTTTTATTGATAAGTTTAATTTAGAAGTGTTTTAATCTAAGAAGTCTATAAAGGAATTTTTTAATCCATTTAGTCCCATGTGTGTATAGTTTTATTCCATAAAGTTCATTTTCTTGATTTATACTATTTTCTTGGACACTTATGCCCTTATATTTAATTTTGATACCCTTATAAATATTTTTTGAACGATTAGCAATTTAATGATGTGAACATTCATATTTTAAAATTCACATTGGTAGGAATGTAAAATTGGCCCGTGGGCGGCCCGAAACCCGGCCGCGAGCCGGGGCGGGCCCGGCCCGGATAAACTCTCTAATGCTATGTTTGGTTGGGATTTTTGGGGTGGGATTTGGAAAATGAATGAGAAATGTAATCCTATTTATGTTTGGTTATAATAAAAAATATATGGGAAAAGAAAGGGGGTGAGAAATAAATAAAGAAATAGGAGACCTTTTAGGACATCAATTCTATTTTATAACCAACACAACCAAACATAGTTGGAATTTGGAATTCTATTAATTCTTTCTCCTTTTCCTTTTATTTCCATTTCCCTTTCCATTTCCTTTCCCAAATCCCCCAACCAAACACAGCGTAAAGGTTTTGAATTCAAACCGCATTCACGCCTCTATATAATTTTATATTTTAAATAGGCTAGAAAGGTATTTTGAAAATCAAACACCATTTCAAGCCTTTACACACACATGTACAAATGCAGTAATAGTTTTCAAACTATTATCAGTATTTTGGGAATATAAAATTCATGACATTTACACGTTATCTCTAGCCTTTACTTTATATATAACATAGATAGATAGAAGATAACTAGCAGTTGGTATACATGTGATGCGTGTACAAATGTATTAACAATTTTCAAATTGTTATGGGTATTTTTTGAATAAAAAATCTGTGACATTTACACTATCTCTAACTTTCATTTTATATATAGTATAGCTAGATATAGATATAAACATGTTGTATATCGTTCAAATGGTAAAAATGTTATTTCATACACCAAAGTTCAAACTTAATTTATCTCAAAATTAAATTTTGTATTTTAAATAGGCTAAAATGACATTTTCAAAAATCAAAATATGACATTATGTTAACATCTATAATATTATATAGTAATACAGATGTGGAGAGAGAGATAATGCGAATGGTGCTTTTGTTCACTTTTCTCTTTAGAAGGAATGATAAGCTGGGATGACAACAGACTAAAGAGGGATGACCAATATTATTAGGTTAAAAAGTCATGAAAGATGTAACAGTTTGCCAAACCTTTTAAAAGTGCTTTTAATTTATGCTACCCCCCACCAAATACTTGAGACAGCCCCATTTCAGTATGGGAAAATTATAAAATATTTTTGAAATATTACGTTTTCGTATTTCTTAACTAATTATTATTTATTATATTTTTTTATATTTTTTAATCACCTAACGTAATACCTTATCTATTCATCTTCTCCACCAATCACAATATTATAAAATATCACGTATCTATATTTTGAAATTACTGAATAATTACCTCATCAGTATCATCGTCCCCACAGAATGACCTCTTTAGAACCACCACCCTATTTGCTTTGACAAGAATAAGGTGGCACATACCTAATGGGTATGCCCTTGTGGTCCTTCATTTTCTTTTTTACTTCTTTTACAATTGATAAAGAGAGAAATAAGAAAAAGAAAATTGAAAATTCAAATTGAAATAATTTTGAAAAAGGATACTGCACTGATAACGATATATATAGGAGAGGTATATGATAAAGAAAATAATATTTACAATTAATGACGGATCCATAATTCAAATTTTAGGGGGGACAAATACACATGTATTTTTTCATTTTTTAAAATTATTTTACTATTACTAATATAATATACGTGATTTTTATGATTTTTGGGGGTGCGACCCCCCTCCCTCTCCCCTCCCACTCCCGCTCTGGCCCAAAACTTGAATTTAGATCATTTGGGCAAAGAAAATTATATTTTTAATGACAAAATTTTAATCCAAATTATTATTATTATTATTATTATTTTTTTGTTGAGGAATAAGACAAAGAAAATTACATTTATAGGGATAGAACTCGAATCTCAATATCACACTTAATAAGAAAACGTCTCATCCACAAAGTTATATTTGATCCTCTATTGCAACTTCGTTCTTATTATACGGTGACATGAAAATCAGAATGCTGAAATTGGCTATACTTGTACTTTACAAAAGATAAAAAAAAAAATCATCTCCTTCAAAATTTAATAATTAAGAATGTAGAAGCAAAAATGGTTAACAAAACTAACCCAAACAGCATGACACCAAGATTAATTTGTGTGAAATCGTCTAAACAATCCTAAAATTTTTACACAGATAGTGTTTTTATATTATTTATTTATTTATTTTTGTCAGGTAGACAAAAGAAAGAGTTGAACACTAAAATAGACACAAAAGTCGAACCGGTAGTGCTAGTTGTCCCGCAAGAGGCATATCAACAGACGATGTGTACAAACCAAGGGGTTGTGGCATGTGTGGCTAATATTTTGGTTATCAAATTTCTGTTATGGCGTGTTTGGTTGGGAAATTTGAAGAGAATTTCGAAAAAGAAAAGGAAAAGATGTGTGAAACTATGTGAAATATATACATATTTTATTCACATTTCATCTACATTTTTTATTTTTCTTTACAAATCTTTCCACAAATCTCCCAACCAAACACAGCATTAAGAAAGACTTTGAGTTCCACTTATAGGAGTAAAATATGAGACAAAATTTTATAGGAGTAAAATATGAGACAAAATTTATGTCCTTACAAGAAGAGGGTGATGGTTGAACTCCCCCAATACTAACTTTTGCTAATCAAAATAGCAAAATAAAATAAAACAAAACAAAAGACGTGTATGCTATAAAATATTTGAACTTTTCTTTTTTTTTTTTTGGAATCTTAATATTTTTGTGTTTGGTGATAAAAAAATTTGGTGAAAAAATCATTTATTTATAACATTGCTCTCATTTTTCAGTTCACCCAAAATAAAGTATGATGAATGTGTTTTCTCAACAGAAACAAAAGACGATGCTTTATTTTTTAATCATCCCTTTTCAATACCACTAGCCACTAGGTGATGTATTTTCTTATAACATTACTCTCATTTATTATGTATTTATTTTATTTTGGAGTAAATGTTAGGATTCATATATATAGTTACCAGAGTTTCGTCTTGACAATTGCCCGTCCCACATATGGCAGGTAATTATCAATGGGGAAATTACCCATAGGTCCCATGGGAAACATGTGATCTCCATTTAATCCCATAACTTTTTCACTACACCCAAAAGTCCTTTCCTCTCTCTCTGCTTTTTGCTTCCCTTCCTCTCTCGTTTTTTTTTCTACATTTTTCTGTCACCGTATTTGTCATGGAAGAGGACAATCTTCTGCATCATAATCTACTTCCCGAAAGTACAAATCCACTTCCGAGTTCAAGAAGAACAGTTCCTTGATCATATCTTTCTCCATTGATCGGGGTTCATTGATAACCACCAAGCATTGAAATCAACTCCGACGAAGAAGATGATATATTTTCCGACGAAGAAGATGAATGGATCTACTTAGATCTGATATAGATCTACTCAGATCTACACAGATTTGGTTAGACATCCGTCTTTCCCCTTCGATCTCTTTTTTTTTTTTTCTCTCTCTGCTATACACTTCTGTTTTTCTGTTCTAATGGAGAAAATTTTCGAATTCTGAACAAGCAGTTTTCGAGTTTTAGTTACAGGCGGTGAAAACTGTAAAATTTTGCAGTTTCAAATTTTTTTTTTGGTGCTGGAATGAATCATGGTTTAAAACTGTAAAATTTTGCAGTTTTATAACATTCTTTAGAACTGTAAAATTTTACAGTTTCATAACATGTTTTTTAATTTTTTTTTTCCGGCAATATTCTAGACATTCCGGTGAGTCTCCGGCGACCGTTAAACGGAAGTCCGACGGTAGTAAGATGTGAACAGTGTCTATAAATTAAAAAAAAAAAAGGATTTTTTGGTAACAATTAAAAATGTGTTGGACTAATTGGTGCAAGTATTTTGTTTTGGGATTAATTGGATTTTGAACTTGTTACATGGGACTTATCAGTAAGTTCCCCATTATCAATCGTACCCCCTGTAAAAACAAAAGCCCAAAGGCCATTATTGGCACAACTTGGTCTAGGCCAAAAGCCCAAACATAGGCCGTCTAAATAAATGGGCTGAAAGCACTTTGTTCTACCCTTGCATCCCATAAATCTCCAAACTTATTGGGCTTATATAGCTCATTATCTAGCCTGGCCCAACTAACCAGTTCTTTCAAGGCCCATATTGAACTCTTCCAAAGCCCATCTTGTTGCAAAGCGAACACATGGAACGGAACGCCTGCATCAAGTGCGACACACTCCATTCGGAAAAGCTTCAGGGTCGGCCATGGATGTCCGTGTGGTCTTAAAGATATAAATTGGCTTCTCTCAGGCCCCAATCTCGCTCAGATTTTCTCTCTCATCATACTCTGTAAATCGCAGTTTATATACATGTATCTATATATGTATATCGTATGTAAGAGATGAGGATTAGTATGGAGTAAGCGGGAGAGGGAGGAGATCACGAACACTGCCATGGCAAATCTTGTTCCTGGATCAACTACAGATTCTACGTTTTCACCACCAGACTTCGAACAACGGTACATTTTTTTTTAATTTTTAATTTTTTTGCTTTTCAAACCAAAATTCACTCCTCACAGCAATTTCCTATCAGAATCACTGCAGTTCAGTTGATTTAGATATTTTTACTGATTATTTAATTTGTTGATAGTTTTTGTACTGGAAAATGTATGTTGTTGTGTATTGCCACGTCAATTGTGTTGACAATTTGGCGTTGGTAGGATAAGGGACATTCAGCACAATAGTTTGAGGGAAAAAAAAATGGGAAATTGAAGAGAAAGAAAGGATAGAGAGTTTTAAAATGTCATAGATAAATTCTTTGACCTTTCAATATATGCTTTAGTTATGTATGATGTGATTTGGTGAGAAATGGTTAGAAATGAAAAGAAATACAACTCTTTTTATCATGTTTGGTTTATAAGTTAGGAAGGAAATGATGAGAAATTGTGAGAAAGACAACTCCCTAATTTTTTGGAAAAGCGCATGAAAGGTGGGTGAAATAACTACATTTCATTCACATTTTACCCAACCTTTCTCTTTTTTCTTTCCAAATTCCTATACAAATTGATGAACCAAAAACACTCTTATTTTATAAGTTTAATTTCTCACCAAACGTGGTGAGATTTGGTGAGAAACAAGTTTTTTGGTCGTTTATTTTTTATAATACCGAGATTGCCCATTAAAACATAAAGAAAGAAAGAAAACATCTCATCCAAATACTTGTATTGCATACTTTGGTGTTTTACTCATCCAAACATGATACTGAGAGACCACAATCTTTTATTTTCTCACCTCACATTCCAAACGGAGTGTTAATTGCCAATGTTTAAAAAAAGAAGAATGAAAATTTGAAGTTTGTCTTATATATATTTCACCAACACTCTGATGGTTTCTTGACTTGATAGCCTAATATATGCTTTAGTTATGGATTGTTGTTTTAGTTTCGGTGTTTTCCGCTAAATGCTTTAATTACTGCCTTCTGGCTGTGGTTCTAGGTACCTTGATTGTTGTAGGAGGCATGGGGTCCTACCTAATAAAGCACTTTTGTCAGCTTTTTTCAAGGTTTGTTATCATCATGTTTGGCATTGTATTCATCAACCATTTGTTTGTAATATGTTCTTGCATGAATGTAAGTAATCCTCAACGGTAAATTTTATTTTCTTATTTAAATTGAGATTGAATTAACCATGTCTCGAAAAGTCTGGATATAAATGAATCCTAAAGCTAGGGCGATTGTAATACATAAAAAAATAATAAAAAATAAATAAATAAATAATAAATAATAATAATAATAATAATGGAAATTCTTGAGTTGATGTACCACGCAAATACTACTCCCAGAGTCTTTTGTTGGTATGATAGGCCTGGCACTATAAGTTCCACTGGATTTAGATTTCATACCAAGGAGTGAGAGAACAAACTTCCTGCCATAAAGTTGGTGCATTTTGAAGTTTTTGGTATAAGAAAAGGGATGGCTTTGAAAGGACATACAGTGTGGTGATGAAGGATTGTGGTATGTTCAAATTTTCTGGTTTTGGCCGATATGCCCCCCAAAAAATAGTTTAATTGGTCGAAGTTGTGAAGATGGACTCTCTGTCCCAAGCCACTGATAGGATGGTTTAGCAAGTAGGTTGGGGCTCCCATTGTATAACTCATCATGCCTTTATAGTTTATACTAAAAAGAAAGAATTCGGATGAGAAAATATAAAATGCTTTGAAATAAAATATGCCATTTCTAGTGTTTGAATAACAAAGGAGTTCAGTTACTGGACCAAATAGTTGGAACATGGTTATGTGCACACACTATGAATCATGGATACTACATGATATAGAAACGCAAAGACAACAATTTCCAAAGAATTAGTACAGGGACATAGTAGGGACACAAAAGATCTGTCCATATATAGATGAAAGTAAGTAGAAAGTAATGTTTATATAAAATTAAGTTCTACATTTTGTATGAAAAAACAAACAATTAATTTTACATTTATATGTTGATAAAGAGTAAGTGACTTGTGCATAAATCTCTGACGTCTCACTTTTAAAAACTTAAAATCCATTGTATAGCATAGTTTTTCCTCATAATTATTTTTTGTTTCTTTCACTCTTCAGTGTTCCTCCCTCTGCATTTGTGTGTGCTTGATACATCACTTGATTGTCTAAGAGGCTGTTTTCTTAATAATGTTGGTTGTTTGGCACCTATAGACAATTACAAGATTCTCTAATTTTTTGTGAATCTGTCCATTTATCCCGATATACTTCATCTGACAAATGAATCCTGAATGATTCCCAACTTTATGTCGCGTAATTCAGGAATTCTTGGTTCTAGATATCCCCAAAATTACGAACAATTTCCTGTTTCATTTGAATTTGCCTAATTATCAAGCATGAATTATATAATGAGCACTACTGTATTTTTGTTTCCTAACATAAGTTGCTTTCATAATCAGGCTGAGGTCAAAAAAGCCCGCCACCAGCTTTGTAGCCTTGTGTTTTCCTTGGATTACTTGAAGGATTCTGATTTTCCTCCACTTCTTGATATATTCCTGGAAATTGACACTTCTGAGATTGATGCAGTTGATATATTTCATGATTCATCATGTGAATTGAATGGAGAATATGTTTTGGTGTTGCTGCGTGCAATCAATCAAAAACTTCGAGTTGTTGACCTCCGGGATTTGTCCTTTGGGAAGGAGTTTTTGCGGTATGTAGTTGTGTCTGCTTTTAATTGGATTGCTTAACCACACTTTATTACCATTTTATTGTCAAAAAGAAACTAAGATTAACTTAATTATATTTATTATTGGTGGTGATTAATATTTTACTTACCCAAAGAAAAGGTTACTATTATTTTTTAGTCTTGAACAGTATGGATTTGTGTTTTGAAATGCCATGGAGAATGAAATAGAATGGTTAATCCTTCCGTGTCCAAAGTAGAAAAACCTTTTACCAATTTTACTATTGTAACCACTATCAATTTTTTTGGTAATGAAAATTTCAACTAGTTGTCATCCCGCAAACTCTCAAAGGTATCTGCTTTTGGAAAGCATTTTTGATAACCATGCTTTTATATTTAACTAGTTGCCTAAATCTGTGTTGTGTTTCTTTCCATTCCTCTCTTGCTCATTTTCATATAGTGGTTTTATCAATAACAGTTCTGTAATTCCTCATTTCTGAGTATGCACGAGCCAGGTTCTTTTTTCCCACCCTTACAGAAACACCGTATGACAGGAGTTTTTTTTTTTGTGTGTGTGTTGAGAAAATTGTTTTCTGTACGTGTTTGATTTGAACTCACTGCCTTTTGACATCACTCTTAGGGATCTCTCTCAAAAGGGCTTGAATTGCCAAGTGTTAAACTTGAGGTCTTCCCACTTCCGGAAACTCAGTATGGTTGGGAAGTTTATGCAGTTGCATACCCTTAACCTGGATTTCAGCAGTTCACTCACTAGTTTCCGAGAGGATTGTTTTGCTTGTATGCCAAAGCTGAAGTTCCTTTCATTATGTGAGACGAGAATTGCAAATCTTTGGACAACTAGTTTTGCACTATCAAAGCTTCCTTCTTTAATGGAACTCCGCTTTCAGAATTGTTTGTGTTGTGACGAGACGGGGCCTTGTCCTGCATCACCCAGTGGGAAGAGTACTGATTCAGATCAGCTGAACAGTGGTCTTTTCATTGGAGCACCATCCTTTGATGAAGATTATTATCAATATTCAACAATGGAAGATGCCTATATCAATGACGATGTCCAATGCACTTTTGAGGATTCATCAGATGATAGTGAAGTGGATTTCTCAAACCACCATAGGGAGCCTGGCCAACTGGAGGTGCTGCCTGATGCAATTCCTGGGTGGGATGGGCCGGTTGATCTGCAAAATGAGGTAAATAAATAGTTACCAGAAAACACATACCCTAGCATTCTAGTTTTGCGACTTACTTTTCCAAATATGGTACACTTTCTAGCTATGACACTAAATTTAGGGATACAGAGTGACTTGTGCATTTTCCCTTTTCATTTCCTTAATGTTTTTGCTATGAAAAAAAAATAAACATAGTACAAGGAACCAAATTCTAAGAGGGGAGTTTTGGTGAGAGAATTTCTAAAAAAAGAGTCCAAATGCATCAGTGCCTCAAGTTATGTAAGAGACACTTAGAAATTTGTTTTTACATGATTAATTTGATATAGGAAAACTTGTAAGGAAAAGGAATTTCAATGGATTAAATTTCTTGAGATGTCAAATTGTTCAAACTAAATCACACTCATCGTCAGTATCTTGAGACATGCCAATAGTTTGATACCCTATCATATTACCTTCCAATTCCAGTTCCACATGCCAAAATGATATACATTCCAGGTAACATCTAGTAGACATATAATATTATATATTTGGTTGGAATAGAATGGTTCAACATGAAATTGTCAAGGGGGCCTGTGGATGCCCCAATAAATAATAATACCTTTTTTCCTTAAGCATGTAGTAATATTCTTTGAAATTCAGTTGCAAATGTCGGATTATTTGTTGTTTTCTAGAAATGGTTTTGTTTCAAAAACTTATCATCACATTTTACCTGCCCAGCATTATTGTGCCTCCATTTTAAAGGTATAGTTTTATTTTGTCATAGCAGATTTCTTTTGGGACCTTGGTGATGCAAGATGACGAGTACTTGAGTTCTTCTGAATCTAGATACATCTCATCTATTGTGCAAAAGAAATATATTTCTCATCATCCTTCACCAATATGCTATGAAAAACATTACAGAGAGTACATGATAGCTTCATTACCCCGTTTGAATGTTCTTGATGACTTGCCAATTAGAAAGATTGACAGGGAGAGAGCCAACATTATCTTTTCACAACACTTTGAGTACCTACCATACAGGAGGAAGAATAAAGAGAGTGTTGTCAGTATCTTACAGAAGCGTGAAATCAGAGCAAGCTGTACTCACTCAAAAAATTGGAGGCAGAAGCCATTGCATGTTTCGGCAAAGTCTCAACATTTCTACTCCAGGTCACTTTCTGCTGCAAAAGTGGGTTCTTCTGCTTGGCCTCTCTTGCATCCACTTTCTATTTTAAGCATCTCAGGAGATAAAAGGAGGAGCTTCCGTCCACGGCAGTTTGAGTACCATCCTTCTGACTCTAGCCTTATGGCTTTCGGTACCCTGGATGGTGAAGTTGTTGTGATGAATCATGAGAATGAGAATATCGTTAGTTACATCCCATCACTTGGAGCAATGAATAGTGTTTTGGGACTATGTTGGCTCAAAAAGTATCCCTCCAAGGTATGGGATTTTTCAGATTGAATGTGATGAAGAGAAATTCCACTTTATTGGTTTACCATTGTATTCCAGTTATTCTTACTACTATCAATCAAAAGTATGCTATGTACTTCCGCTTTTGTAGTGTTTAATCATTCTCTTAAGTACATGGGTAGTTTTATTTGAAAATAGTCATGGTCCATGTCATCACATACTCAGTGAATTCAGGATTGTGCAAAGTTAAAGGCATATTTGCTTTTAAAATTTCTTTGTAACAAATGGAAAAATTAAGCTTTGAAAGGAAATCGTTTATTTGAAAGGTAAATATATCTTTAAGCTAGCAGAAAGGTACAAGCTTAGGTGGAATTTTGTTATATGTGATGAGCATGCATGTCACTTAGGATGTGACAAGGTTGCTCTTAAGTTATGAGCCAACTTGAGGTAATATCATGTTCATCATGGCTGATCAAAAAAATATCATGTTCATCTTGATATAAGTCCAATATAGGAGCCAGGTGCAAAGACATACTTGGATCCAGTTTAGTTTAGTTTAGTCTATCAGTTATGCCTTGAGAGATTTTTTGGTTTGAATCTGTCCAATTGTTGGGGCGGGGCCCATCTATATGCAACTTGCATTTAAAGGAAGAATGATTGGGTCAATTATATTGCCAGAAGAGGGTATTGTAAATTCGAAGAATATCCCGCCTCCTAAATTGTTTGTAAGCATTCCCCTCTGAAGAGGATTTTTTTTTTTTTTGGGATTATTCAATTCGGTGAATCTATTAAAGAATTTGTGTTGGTGCCTACTTTATACTCTGATGATGTGGCAATTGTTGACTTATTATTATTTATTTATTCGGCGGCTGAATTTCAGCTAATTGCTGGTGCTGACAATGGTTCGCTGAAACTATATGACATCAAGCATATTCCTCCAAGAAATAAAGAAATCCATTCCACTGCTCCTTCTGTTACCTTTGACGAGTTTGATCAACTGACATCTGTTCATGTCAACTCAACGGATGAATGGTTTCTTGCTAGTGGATACTCAAGAAATGTTGCTTTGTATGACATTGGCTGTGGAAGACGCTTGCAAGTGTTCACTGATATGCATCGAGAGCACATTAACGTTGTTAAGTTTGCGAACCATTCTCCATCCATTTTTGCTACTTCATCATTTGATCAGGAGGTTAAGATGTGGGATTTAAGACAAAAACCAATTTTCCCTTGCTACACGGCATCAAGCTCTCGAGGAAATGTAATGGTCTGCTTTTCCCCCGATGACCACTATCTTCTTGTGTCAGCTGTTGACAATGAGGTATTTTTAGTGATAATCAACTGCATGCATTAACAGTGTTTATGTCCAATCCATCAATCACTGTGATCCCTTTATTTTAGTAATTAAGCTTATTTCCTTGCAACCTTTTTTCCTCTCCTCTTTCTGATTTCTAATTTCCAATGTTAATTCTCTTTTTTAGTTGTTTCTATATATGCTTTTAGAATTTGAATCACCAGCAGAGATCAGATGCTATTGGTGGAACATAACCAGACTCGATTTTGAATTGGATATGTTAAGATCTAGCTAAACATATTAAACATCTTTGGCATGAGTATGGTCATCGTGGCTAGATATGCACGATGTGTTTAATTTGTACTATGTTGATTAACCCCCCATGTTATCAGGTTAAACAACTATTGGCTGCTGACGGGAGACTCCATCTGGATTTTAATATAAGTTCAACAGGTAGCTCACAAAATTACACTCGTTCTTATTACATGAATGGAAGAGACTATATTATAAGTGGAAGTTGTGATGAAAACGTAGTCCGCATTTGTTGCGCTCAAACAGGAAGACGTCTCAGGGATTTATCATTGGAGGTAAATTATTCTTGTGATTCTTGTGTTCCGCATGTAACTCTATTGTAGCGTGATGGACTACATATATCCTCATATCTAGAAATGGTTTGTGAATATCACATCCTCAAATAATCCCAAGGGGTTGGCTTAGTGGGTGTGCAACTTGGGGCTAGGGGTGTACACTCTCTAGCTCTCAAGTTCAACTCCCATTAGGAGCAATTTGCTCCTTGGGGCCATGCCCGTAGGCTCTGTCTGAGATTTGCCCGATCCACGTGGAAGGGACGCTTGCGTGGGTTTCGGGATTAGTCGAGATGCTCGTAAGCTGGCATGAACGCCCGGTCATAAAAAAAATAAATAAAAAAAAGAAAAGAAAAAAAAATCACATCCTCAAATACAAAAAAAAAAAAAAAAAAAAAAAAAAAAAAAAAAAAATAAGAAGAAAAAAATACTTATTTCTTTGAAAAAGAATAAAGGTTTTTGGCAGAAATTTTGTGTCCCTAATTTCATTGTGGTTGTGGAACTTTCTCTAAATCACTCATAATCTTTATGATGTAATGGCTATTGTGCCATAACTTTATTTTATTTCTACCCCTTTTCATTGTAGCATGATGCATGAAATAAGAAACATAAAGTTTTACCGATACATGCTTATAACAAAGGACCAGACGGATACTGACTTTTTCATGAAAAAACGCCCTTAGGAATAAAGATAGAGCCATGAAAGAAAGTAAGGATATTTACCTGGCTGGCCACTGGAGTCCTAACTTTTCCAGCATGGGAATGGTTTTAGTTTCAATTGATAATTATGCCATCCTTTCCCACCATGTGAACACATTGTCTTGTGCTTATTTAGCAAAGTAGAAATTACGCACCTCATCATCAATTCGTTCTTTTTCTATTGATTGGATATTCTTTTGGTTTTCCTGTCACTATATTTTTTACTTGCATATTTGGTGTTTCCATTACATTGGATTCTCTTATTGTTTGCCTTTTTTTATCCTTCTTGTTTCATCCATTCACAGCCACTTGGTGACTAAACTATGGGAATAACTTGTTTTTCTATCGAAGAGCATCCACATCAGGCTCTCTACAATGGCTTTGAAGCTATTGTAGAGAGCAAAAGCTCCATGAAACTCTCTATAGCAACCATTCATTTTGACTTTGCTACAGTGCCTCACCTGATTAAGTGAGACACTATTCATACGTTAATCTATTTTTTATTATATTTTCACACCTTTTTCTGTTCCTTTCTTTATTTCTTTCATTGTGTTACCCAAAAAGAACTGAACTGGAACAGAACTGGGCCAAAATACCATGGCCGGTCGTCTGGCCACAGCAAAATTTCCTTTCTTTGCGCGGTCAAAAACCTGTCCAGCCGGCCAATATATCTGTCGGCCGGCCAAAGGCCTCTGCAGCCTGGCAACTTTTTTCTTGCAGTTCTGGAGCTGTTTTGCTACTGTTTTGGTCTTGGAATATATTTGTTTAACATCAGTTGAGCTTCCAAAGAGATAGATTAAATTGATATGGATAAAACATAATTATAGCCGTTAGAATATAGCCGTAGGAATATGACCGTTAGAATATAGCCGTTTTAAAAATATGACGGTTGGAAAAAATATATTTAAATTGAAAAAATAAGAGAATAAAAAATAATATTTTAATGAAATAGAATTTTAGAATAGAGAGTTTGATGGAGTGTGTACATAAAAAAAAGGCTAGCTAAAATACAAAAGTAGATTTTGGGTTATAATTTGGCTCAAAATTTGCTGAGGTTGACGCAAATACTTAAGTTTTCGGTTGATGAGACCCATATCTTGTGGAATACGAGCTTTGTTTGCTAGAAATTGCAGAACTCAGCCCTTCTGTTGTTATTTTGCATATTTTTAATCGTGTCTTGTTTCAATTAGGTCCACCTTTGATTGTAGTAGTTGAGGCATCTGACTGGCTACATAAATTTTGCATCATGGTTAAATCATCCTTACTGTTCTATAAGTTTAAGAAATGGGATCAACATCCCTACAAGAATAAAAGCTTGCAAGCCAAATTTCATATTGACTAGTGTTAGAATTCTGACTAATTTGAAGATCCACAACTTGTGTAATAAATAGGAACACATATCCCACATTAAACTGAATACACACATCAGATAGAAAGCTTATTTATGGCTACAGAAAATAATTCTCAAGGGACAGTGCTATAGAAAAATTAGAAAGTCATACCCTGTGCATATTATAGGGGTTTTTATAGTTTTTTTTTTGGTAGTTGGTGGTGGTGATTGGGAAGAAGCTTCAAATTCAGAAGGTTACCTTGGAAGTGGTAAATAAGGAAGCATCGTAGTGTGTTTTTTTTTTTTTTCCGAAACAATGAGAAGACTGATCCCATTGAAAGAAAAGACGAGGAAGTGAAAATCCAATATCAATGAGTGGAGGTGAGAGGTATGGCCTACAAATTTCCCCTTCTTATTGGGTTTCTTCTTCCCCTAAAGTTCTCGGGGTCTCAATCATTCATGTGTACGTCCATGTCTGAGTGTGTGATTGCACGTCTTTGTCTGTGCCTTGACACACACACACACACGGAGGGATGCTTGTTTTGCACACGTCTTTGTTTTGTTTAACATTTTCTCGATTCCAGTTACGGATTTGTAATTTTTTGCTGTTAATAAGCAGGGTAAAGGTGCAGGGGCTTCAATGTTTGTGCAGTCCTTAAGGGGTGATCCTTTCCGAGTGAGTTTGCATTTTATTAGATGTTTCTCTTTGCTTCAAATGGAATGGTGATTTACCAAAAAGATATCAAAATTTTCCCATTATTTTCATGTTTAGAGTGGGAAATTAGAAGTTTGCCGGACAAAATTTACACTTCCTTTTCTTTCCCCTTCACCTCTCCCCCATTTCCTGAAAAGTTGTTGGAAACAGTGGCTGCTATTTCATTTCCTCTTATATTGATTTAATGCCATTTCTTGCACCATTAATAGTAGCCACAAACCTGATGATGATTTAAGTTTGAAGAAATACTCCATGGATTTACCTTTTTTAAATAATGTAAATATCGTAATGCTTGTATTTATATTAGTTTTGTTACGCTTGGTGCATACACAATTTTCAACTTTGCAATTGCATTAATCTTGACTCTCTGAAATCCTTGCAAAATTTATTTAAAACTGACGCTTTGCTTATCACCACTAAACCTATCCTATACATATGTATTTATATTAATTTATGGTAAAAAAACATGTTTTTCTTCCTTAATCGTGCTTCATGAATTGCTGTCATCTGATTCTAATATCTTGATTTTTTTTCTTTTTTTTATATATATTTTTTTTTTCTCCCAGGACTTTAATATGAGTGTTTTAGCAGCCTATATACGTCCGAGCTCAAACTCTGAGATTGTTAAGGTTAATTATGTGCCTCAACTATTTTGTATTTCATTTTTCTTCTATGATTTTTTTTATTTTTTATTTTTTATTTTTTATTTTTTATTTTTTTATTACTGAATCTTTGGACCTTTCAATGAGATAGATGACTAAAGTTCGAAAGATGCAGGTGAATTTGCTTTCATCGAGTGACTATGCCAAAGAATACTCCGATGGTCAACATTCTCGACCATCCTATAGCATGGGAGGCTGACATTTATACCCGAATTGTACATAATAGGATGATAATATATTATATATTCTAGATTTTTATTTATTTATTTATTTATTTATTGTCATAGACATGTGTGTATTGTGTACTTGATGTTTTGTATATAATTGTTGTGGAAGAGCTTTTGATCTTGGCTTCTTCCATTTTTAGACAACCACAAGATGTGGGAGTTTTTTTTTTTTAATATTCTAAAAAAAAAAATTATTTAGAGAATTAGCGACTTTTCAAACTATTTCAGAAACTAACCTGCTTTTTGAAATCGCATTTTTAAATTGCGATTTTGAAATTGAAATTACATTTTTAACATGCAATTTCACCTTAAAATCGTAGGTTGAAAATGTAATTTATGATGACATGCTGAAATTGCATATTCAACATGCAAATCGCATGTTGAAAATGTAATTTCAATTTCAAAATCGTATTTTGAAAATGCGATTTCAAAAGCAGGTTAATTTTTCAAATAATTTGAAAAGTGAGTCGATTTTTTAATTAGTTTTTTTTTTTTTTTTGGAATATTAAAAAAAAAAAACTCTAAAATGTGTTTTGGGTGTAAACGACAAATTGGTTGAGTTTTTAATCTATATATATATATATTTTTTAGTGAATTTTTTAAATATTTTAATAATAAATTTTACATTTTAGATTTACTTAAAAAATTATAAAATTTAAAAAAAAAATTATTGAGCACAACAAAATAAGAAAATGTATTAATTTTTTTATTGTATTTTTTCATATTCAATAAATTTTTTTTATACTTTGTAATCTAAATTAGGTGAATTTAAAAAAAAATAATAATTAAAATGTAAAAAACAAAAAACACTAATATATATATATTGATAGAAAACTCAAACTCCAAACCAAACAGATCGAGGCATAATCTAAGCCATACCCAAAAAAGGCCCTACAAACGCATGTAACTAAAAATTAATCATTAACCTATCATTCATAAATCAAATACAAATATCCCTCTATTTTTCTCCCCCAAAGCCTCAACATTTATAATGGCAATAAGGGCTTACTCGGCCTCATCACTTCCATTGTGCCAAACAAATTTGAAATTTTATAATCCATCATAAAAATTAGAAGCCACAGAAATTTTCAAGTTCAATTTAATTCAGAACACAAGTCAATTGTGTTTCGAAAACAATTAAATGTGTTTCATAATACCTCAAACTCACAGGTTATTCCAAGTTATTTGATGTCTTCCCCCCTATAATTGCCCTACCATAACCATTTGACCAAACTTGAGCCAAACCTGAACCAAACATGGACTCCTCTGTTGGAAAAGATGGCATATTTTGCATACTCTTGGCTTTTGGGGAACATTTCTCTATCAGATACCATCATGCACCATGTTTGCCGGTGACGCATCTGTTTGAATGACCAACAAGTGTTCTCAATCTCACTGAGTCTGCTTTGTGAACAGATTTATGAGCGGGGGTATGTGAGCAGAAATAAGTCTGTTTACAGAACAGTAATCGAAATGTGCTTTCAGGATCTCACCTTGGAATTGGACTACCCTTCCGGACAACTCAATTCCAAGTAGCAAATGATCAAAAGTAATAATCTCCAAGCAGTACAGAATTTCCTAATAGTCAAGCAGCAGATTTCTTACGTTTAGGTCTGCCCCTTTTTCTCACTTCTTGAGATCTCAGTGGTCTGCCCCTTTTCTGCACTCGAGCTTTCGGTGGTCTGCTCCTTTTTCTCACTTCCTGAGATTTCGGTAAATCAACTGGTGCACTTGGATTCTGGGTCTCCTCAATACTCAACATGTGATCCGATGATGCTTGATGTTCTGACTGACTTATTCTCTTGTGACCTCTGGGGGTCGTATAGGCCAATCCAGCATCCACTTTGCTCGGTTCCTTATTTTTTACTCCATTGCCAGCATCATCTTCTCTTACCATTTTTGGTTCGGGCTCTGACATTGGGACACTTTCTAGACTTGATGCCATGCGAGATGTATGCCGATAGCTCCAACGTGCATTTTCAAACCATTTGCTAACCTGATGGGCTGTGATTCCTAATTCTTTTCCCAAATTTTCTTTTGCAGTTCGATCTGGATATTGATTTTCTTTGAAGGCTCTTAAAAGTCCCTGCAAAATTACCACCACAACACAAGTCAATTGAATTGTGAAATGATTACAAGGTAAGGTACAAAGAGCACAAATCATTCAATACTAATGTCAACAAGGTTTGCTGGCTTGTGACAAAGCATTAGTCCCTCCTCATATTTAATACTGCCATCATCACCGATTAAATTTTGTTTCGGTAGGTTGTTTTAGTTAGCTTGAAAATGGAACTGTTTAGAAACACTAGTGAAATGACAATAAAAATTGAAAATGTTAAGAAACAAAAACTATAACCTGTAATATATAAATGTTAATAAATTCTGAAAAATTAAACAATTGAGCATATAGGTCTATGAATACTAGATGATCATATACAAAAGGTTTGCAGCTTTATTTGGGAATTTCAATAATTAATAATAATAAAAGAAAGCAAAATTCTAGTTAAAAAAAAAAATACTTCGCAACTAAAAAATAAAAGAGAGAATTAATAACTTAATCATTTTTGGTTAACCTTCTCTTCTCCTTTCTAGTTTCTTTTTCTTAAACTTTTTTTTTTTTTGGGATAAATTTTAACTTTTTTTTAATTTGGTTCTTAACCTTTTTCTTTTGAGAAAAAAGACAAATAGAAATGACCATGGTTGGACATTCCTCTTAAGTGTTGAAATATCTCATTATTTCAGTATGTTTCACTGTGTTTCATTGTGTTTCTGAGTGTGTTGGTGGAAATATTGGATTTCAATATTCCACTAGTGTTCTGTTTCGGTTTCCTAGAAAACAGCAACATTTCAGTTGTTTCAATGGAAATGAAACAAAATTTTGTTCCTTGACTACTATTTGTAGAAACAGAAAGAACAGTGCCAGAAAAACCCAGTCCACAGTTGAATTGATGGGGAAATGTTGATTCCATATGCAGACTACCGCATGAATTAAGAAGTAAAAATTAATTGACGAGCATGTGATACCTGAGTTACCGCCTCTCCAAGTCTTTTATATGGTGTTCTTTTAGAACCACTATAACTTGAACCAGGTTCAGAAGAACCTTTATATGATTTAGCTGGCGAATCATTTATGCCTTCAACATCTAGCTTCTTACAAGCTCTTCTCTTAGGAGTACGTTCACTCTCTTCCTGGTTGTGCTTCCCCTCTATAATCGGAGTCCTTCCACAAGGTGACGCTGAAGCAACTTTCCCTGTGTTGTTCTTCCTTCTCTTTGTTGGTACATCAGAAGCATCCATCCAATTTTCATCACTTGAATCAGATGAAACATTTCCGTATGTTTCCTTTATAAATCAGGTCATTGTAAACAAAGATAAGCCAACATAGGATATATTACGAAAACTAACATAATGGAGTCAATATGCAAAATATAATTGAACACAAAAAAAACAAAAACAAGAACAAATGAGGATGACAATAAACGGGAACAGGAAGAGGGGATAAACTACCCAGGTATACAGCAAGCATATGATAGAATAAAGAACAGCAGACTCTACAGAGACTAGGAACCAGGAGGATCAGACACAGATTCAAATTTTGGCATGATTCTCTTGGAACTTTTCGCAATTTTTTCTACATGGATATGGCAACAATTAATAATATGTAGATGGAAAAGATTGTTGTGCTTCAATCTGAACAATGTCAGAATGATAAGAAATTTAGCCATAATATATCTGCCTAGAGGTGTGCATGGCTTGGTTTCGTTTAGGTTATTGCCAAACATAGAATGAAACCAACCTAGTTGATTCTAGGATTTTTGAACCTACAACCATGTATGGAACCGAACCAACCCAAACTGAAAAAAACTGAGACCCACTGCCATTTAAATATTTAAAAATGCCCAAAATCAACACCACATACTATACTAATGATTTTTAATAGTCAACAATAATACATGGTTAAAGCCAATAACAATAAAAAAAACAATCAAACATAAAGTGTATTTATACAATATCAAATATTGTATATAATATATACATGGGGTCGATTCTCAAGTCAGTTTGAGTTACCCAGATTCCCAACCAAAAACTGAACAGACCTGATCACTTATGGGATCTTTGAACCCAAAACCAAACCGTGCCCAACCAACCCAACATATGAAAACCGTGTTGGTTCAGTTTGCAGGTTCCTTGGTTACTTTGTGCACACCTACTTGAGGACAACTACAGAAGTGGCGTCTACTACATCAGGTAATAAATGAAATCATAGTAAACATCCATGAGCATCAAAGTCAGCTAACACAAAGATGGTGCCATACTGTGATGTTCACTACTGAAGTGCAAACAATTAGCACATATCACAAGTGACTGACAGGAAAAATGCTTGAAAGTCAATCACCAGAAACATTGATTATGGACAGCATGCTAATGATAAGAGATATATGTTGTGAAAGGGAACTCACATCATGCAGCCTTTTGTAATCCAACCTTTCTACATGTCTCTTTCCTGATAAAGGTGCAGACTCCCCTTGGCCAGGACCTGACTCTAATAGATATGGCAGCTCATCATCTAAAGATTGTTTTTTCCTCCGACCAACTTTAGATCTTTCTCCATTGGAGACACCACAGGGCTTGTTCTGGTCTGATGATGCAGACATCAGTTCACCAGGCACAGGTTCGTCTTTGCATGGAGATATGTTATCATCGAATGCAACACTAAAATCCTCAGAGTCGGATGTAAAATCAGAACTTGAACTTTCCTGCTTAACCTGATCACTGAGATCTGGAGCATCAGGATCATAATCATCATCCTCTGAATCATCGGAAGGTAGCTCCAACTTCTGCTTGTTTTTTGGTGAATCTCTATTATCTTCAGAAGCAGAATAGGAATCAGATTCATCAGAACTAGATTCATCTCCCTCAACTTCCTCATCCACTTCTGAACCATCAGGGTCATAATCATTATCATCAGAATCATCTGATGGAAGTCCAACACTATCTAGCTTATTTCCAGCCGCTGCTGCTGCTGCCGCCTCAGGGAATACCTTCTGCACACGGGAGATAAGCATAATGAGTAACATATAAGCAAACCAATTAGTCATCAACCGACAATTTTTAAGACTGAAGTTTGTAATTGACCTCCCAGGTGTCCAAGACGGAAAGAACAGTTCCTTGAGAATCATTAAGCAAATCAATGCAGTCAACCTTACAATCACATCCAGGGCAAAGCCAACCCTTATCATCGGGAGGAACTGTAAGCCAGGGGGAAATAATGAGTTGAAAAAAGAACAAATAGAAACAAGAACAGGAAATAAGGAACTCAAGAAATAAAAAATCAAGGTGAGTTGAGCAGCAAGTTATTTAGACATACTGTCTTCTTTTAACAATGGTGGTTCCAAACAAAACTGGTGGAAACCACGCTCACAAGCACCATCGCAGAGTATGATATCATTATCAGCTCCCAAATCTTTAGACCCGCATTTTGCACAGAATATCTGCCACAGGAAGATAAATGTCTAGGTATTTGCAACTCTTTAGAACTAATATATATATATATACTATCAGAAACAAAATAACATTCAATTAGAAGTGTCATAAAAACGTAAAATTATCTTGTTCAAAGAAGGCAACTCCTACATCCTCACTGTCAATCTGTCCTTCAGAATCAAACAAGGATTCTGGAAGCCTTCCTTCAGCAATTAACAAATCAAGACGTTGAAATAGATCTCTTATCTTCAATTTGCAACGGAAAATTTCAGATTTAGCTCGTTGAAGCTCCTTCTCTGGCTTTATTTTTTCTAGGCTGCAAAATTACCGAAATAGCAAGCAAAAGAATTAGGAACTCAGCAGCAGACAAAAGTTCTAATTTTCTTTCTTTCTTTTTATTTATTTATTTATTTTTATCAGCACTATGTTAATAAGCAAAAATAAAAAAATAAACTACAAGAAAGTGGGAGACAAGAAGTCCACCAAAGAAAACAAAAGAGATGAAAAAAGCAAAACTCAACAAGGTAACAAGCTACAAGCATCCGATGAACACCTTTCGGTCATTGTAAAGGTTGTGACTATAAAGAAGAAGAAAATTGGGAGAAAAAAAAGTACACGGATTTAATAAATATCATTTGATGTTCAAGTCCCATTTTTTGCAAAATCCAATCAAAGCAATTATCAGCATGAGAAAAAATAGGATCAAACAGGCTCATGAAAAATATGCACCAGACACTACAAATCAAAGAAATTATCAGCAAGAGAAAGAATAGGATCGAACATACTCATGAAAAATATGCACCAGCCACTAGAATGACAGCAACATGCTAGAAGGAAAAAAAAAACTGTGATAAACTCTTTAGTCTAAATTGGCTATAGACTACAAACCTTTGTCCTTTCCAACCTTCACCAGAATAGGCATCAATCAAGTTTTGCTCATAGTTTATTCGATTTAGCAAGTATCTCAGATGCTTTCTAATTCTTGAGACTTCATCAACTGGAATTTTCTTCATATTTTTCTTCTTCCTCATCTTCCTTCTCTTTTCCTGATTAGCACCATCAACATGCTCTGGCAAATTATTACTTGGCTCGGGAGCTTTATGTTTCTCTTGCAACCTTGAGCGCAAAACTCTCGTACTCATTACAGAAGATCCTGGCTCATGTTTTGTCGATTTTGTAGATTTTCTTCTACCCCTGCCTCCCAACTTGCTAGCATTGTTGGCTGCATCTTCTGGTTGTTTTTCTAGTTGTTTGAGATCACAATTATTGGAGACATTATCTGGTAATGGTTCCAATTGTTCAAGACTAGTATTGACTGCTGCATCTTCAGGTGGTAATCCCAATTGTTCCATACTAGAATTCTTCTCATCTTCCAATGGTGGTCTCAATTGTTCTGAACTGGAACTTTTGGTCACATCTTCAGAAGGTAAGCCAGATTGTTGAAGACCAAGATGGTTGAATTCTACCCTCCCAGTTTCAGTTGGTCCATTTTGAATGTGTCCGGTACAAACCTTCCGTGTTACCACTAATGCTTCAATATTTTCATTTTCTGGAACAAGTACGTGATTTATTTCTGGCATTGCTTGTTTAGCACTTAATATTTTTCCAGCTGCGTGATCCGGCAGTGGTTTCAATTGTTCAAGATTAGCATTCACTGCTGCATCTTCAGGTGGTAATCCCAATTGTTCCATACTAGACTTCCTCTTATCTTCTGGTGATGGGCACAATTGTTCCCAACTGGAACTTCTGGTCATATCTTCAGAAGGTAAGTCGGATAGTTCAAGACCAAGATGGTCAAATTCTACCATCCCAGTTTCAGTTGGTTCACCTTGAATGTGTCCGGTACCAACCTTCTGTGTTACCACCAATGCTTCACTATTTACATTTTCCGGAACAAGTACATGATTTATTTCTGGCATTGCTTGTTTAGCATTTAATATTTTTCCAGCAGTGTTATCAGGTGGTGTTTTCAATTCTTCAAGACTAGTATTCACTGCTGTATCTTTAGGTGGTAATCCCGATTGTTCCAGAGTAGACTTTCTCTCGTCTTCTGGTGGTAGTCTCAATTGATCCCCACTGGAATTTTCAGTCACGTTTTCAGACGTTAGGCCAGATAGTTCCAGACCAAGATGGTTGAATTCTGCCATCCCAGTTTCAGCTGGTCCATTTTGAATGCATCCGGTACCTATCTTCTGTGTTTCCACCAATGCTTCACTATCTACATTTTCTGGAACAAGTTCTGATTGTTCCAGAGTAGACTTTCTCTTGTCTTCTGGCGGCGGTCTCAATTGATCCCTGCTGGAATTTTCAGTCACATCTTCAGAAGGTAGACCACATAGTTCCAGACCAAGATGGTCGAATTCTACCATCTCAGTTTCAGCTGGTCCATTTTGAATGCATCCGGTACCTATATTCTGTGTTTCCACCAATGCTTCACTATTTACATTTTCTGGGACTTCTTCATGGTTTATTTCTGGCATTGTTTGTCTAGCACTTAATATTTTTCCAGCTGCATGATCAGGTGGTGATTTCAATTGTTCAGGACTAGTATTCACTGCTGCATCTTTAGGTGGTAATCCCAATTGTTCCAGACTAGAGTTTCTACCGTCTTGTGGTGATGGTCTCAATTGATCCCAACTGGAATTTTTGGTCACATCTTCCGAAGGTAGGCTAGATTGTTCCAGACCAAGATGGTCGAGTTCTACCGTCTCAGTTTCAACTGGTACATTTTGAATGCGTCCAGTACATATCTTCTTTGTTTCCACCAATGCTTCACTATTTACGTTTTCTGGAATGAGTTCATGATTTATTTCTGACCTGGCTTGTGCAGCACTTGATTTTTTTCCAGCAGCGTGATCAGGTGGTGGTTTCAATTGTTCAAGGCTAGTATTCACTGCAGCATCTTTAGGTGGTAATCCCAATTGTTCCAGACTAGACTTTCTCTCATCTTCTGGTGTTGGTCTCAATTGATCCCAACTGGAATTTTTGGTCACATCTTTTGAAGGTAGGATAGATTGTTCCAGACCAAGATGGTCAAATTCTACTGTCCCAGTTTCAGCTGGTCCATTTTGAATGTGTCCAATACCCATCTTCTGTGTTTCCACCAATGCTTCACTATTTACATTTTCTGTAACAAGTTCATAATTTATTTCTGACATAGCTCGTAAAGCACTTAAATTTTTTCCAGCAACGTGATCAGGTAGTAAACCGAACTGCTCAGAATTAGAATTCATGGTGGCATCTTCCAGCGGTTGTCCCAATTGTTCACAACTTAAATTTCTGGTTAGATCTTCGTGAGGTTGTCTCAATCGTTCAATACCATTATAGTTGCATTCCGCAGGCCTGGCTTCTGTTGATACCATATTTACATTTCCAGTGCTAATCACATGTTTTTCTTCTGTTGCTTCACTAGCTAAACTCCTAGCACCAAATTCATGCTCTTGAATTGATGTTCTTTGTATAGGGGGCGATCCTTGTCCAGTTTCACTGTTGTCTTGTGCTGAAGACGCATCCATGTTCATGTCAGCAGACATTTGGACAGAAAACCTGTAGTGACAAATATAACCAGTCCTATGTCATTCCATTTCCCACACTTAATTGAAAATAAGCAATTCAATATCAAATTCTTTTAACAGTTTCACCCATAAATTAAAATAGAAAACTCTTCAAGTACAGAACCAGGTCTAATACAGTTGTAATGCATTCCATAGTCCAATACAGTTGTAATGCATTCCATAGTCCAGCAGTCAACATCAAAATAGTACAAACAATGTAAATTGGAAAGTTAACAAAGACCTAGTGTAACCTTGTTGATGAAGGTGCTGGTTATTCAAGCATCATTCAAGGCTTGCCAAGGTTCAACTAATGCTAATTTAGTTTTATTTATGTCCCCATCACTTTTTGACTGGATGTTATTTTAACATTTTCATAAAATGGGTACATGCTATATGTGTCCTCAACAAAGTTGAGATTGATTTCACCCACTTGAGTTTGAAATATCTAATTATTAGACTTGTATTCCTAATAGGAATGAAACAAACACAATAGCCTACGCATATCAACGTGCGCTTATTATTTCATATTTTTTTTAGAGAAATGTCAGATTTAGCATATGTAGCTCTGTTATCAGAATCTTACGATTCACGATTCGGTTCACAATTCGATTCACAATTTTTGCAAAATCGATACGAATCTATAGGTCTCTTTTATCAAAATCTTACGATTCGCGATTCGATTCAACTTTTAATAGCGTTTAATACTAAAATAACCAACATATATACATAATTTGTTGTTATTTTAGTGATCATGAAGTTTTTAATAAAATCCAATCAGATTTAGCAGACCTAACATATTTTTAACCTTTCTTCTCATTTTTTTTTCCCTTTAAAAATTCATAATATATCTTCTAAAGATGTTTAAGATTAAAGTTACAATATGAATTATCTATTGCTATTTTATTAAATTGAATATTACATATGTGAGGTCTGTTATACCTTTGAAAATGTTTTAGGCTTTAAAATAAAATATTCTAAATAATTATTTCTTATTATTTGCTCACTGTTACTTAGAAAAGTACGTATTAGAAAAGTACGTATGTTTATTGTCCAAATATCAATATCGTTATTAATTATTGTTATTTTGAAAATTGATAATTTGTCTATTTGGTTATTATCTTTATTAAGAATGGTTGATAAGAAATATCTAAAAAGAAAAAAAGTAAGATAGTGATCTTACATGAGAATCTTTATTAACTTTTTACCTAGTAAACTACGTGATTATCACGCAAAATAACATTTTCATTGATTTAAGTCTAAATATTTCATATTCATAAGATATATTTAACATCTAAATGTGTAAATATATATTTTTAAGTAATTTTAAAAAAGTGACCGAATCTTTACGATTCACGATTCGATTCGATTCGCGATTTGGTACAAGGTCATTTCGATTCACGATACGAATCTCGATTTGACAACTATGATATGTAGGTTTTGAAGTGTTTTGTAGCTGAACCCTGAACTTGAGGTATAAGGAACTCTAGACAGGGTTCCAAAATAATCCTTCGTTCTTTCTCCTCCATAATTCTTGGCAGCGCATTGATCACGATTCACTATTAAACCCCAATTCTCTTTAGTTCAAACCTGATTTGAAAGCTCCCATCTTTCTCCCTGCCCTATAAACGATTTTCCAAGAATCTGATACCTTTAAATAGTTCCAACGACACATTAATGTAGAACCAGAGAAGAGAGAGAATTCTGTAGGCAGAACAATATTAGAGTTCTTTCAATATTCAATCACTGCCAAAAAACCTAATAGTTCAACACACACCCCCATATATATAACCTATAAGCATCATCCAACAAGGAAAATCCTAATGAAATACAGATTCCTAAATAAACTAAAATTTATTTTTCAACCAACTCTTTTTTGTTTGCTGTCATTTCTCCCTGGCTGAAAAAAGGTCTTCTCTGGAGAGTTGTTAATGTAAAAATAATCAACACTCAAATAAATATTTGCAAAATTTATTACATAAAGGATGCATCCTAGAAAAACTAGAATAAAATTACCAAAATTAACCCGATACAATAGGCAAATCTTAATTTAATAAATAAAATGAATGTTACCCAAAAAAAGCAAACACCTGCGATTTACATTTTCAAACGCATGTTCCAAAAACAATGAATTTAACAATTTAAAGTGATCCCATAATCTTTCTATGTTTTCCGTTAAAGGTTCTCTTTAATAAGAAAAAAATCAAATACAATGAACTAAAATCTAGATGGAGTGAAGTTTTGAATTGACAAAATGTAAAACAATGGGTTATAACGCTTATTGAACTGTGTTGTTGAACAATTAATTTGAAGAAAAATACACTATAATATATTGGCTGTCAAATTAGGAAGTCTAACCCTATTGTACCACACTTCAGAGCATGTGACGTACGATATTAGTTCTAGGTAACATGGATAAAACCCAATAAATCATAGAGAAGAAAACAATATTGAAATAAATCCACAATCACCAATTTATCTTCATCCAATGCCTTCACAGTTCCCATCACATATGTTGTAAAATTCAGCAACATCACACAATCCAAGCATATTCAGAAGTTATTTGTGCATTTTTTAAATTTTAAACCAAACAGATTCTATAATGTTAGCCCATTTTATAAATAATCATAGACAGGACAACATTGCTCTAATTGGTCAGTGCTTTTCCCAATCAGTTTGGCATTATAGACTCTATAGCTAGTAGAAATATATTTCTTTGCATATGTATAGCATGAAAAATGGAGTTTCTTTGGTTTTGTTTGTTTAGGGTGTGAAGGTGAGGGATTTGAAAAGATTACATAACACTCAATCTCACAACACAATATCTAATTCTCTTCATATGACAGTTCTACATAAAACTTCAGATAAAGCCACAAGAAGGAAAAATCGGATGCAGTGTTTGCGGCTTGCCAGCATGCTAGTCCTTAAAACAATCAATCACAAAATTAAATATAATGATTTTTTTTTTTTTTTTTTATCAAACATAGCATAAGAGATTTATAAATTTAAAGATAATCAATTGTTGCTACAAGTTGTAAATTTTTAAGTACCTAATCTATAATATTATATAAAGTGCACAACTCAGTGAACTTCATGTCATGAATTTTCTGATAACCATACTGCTCCTTTGTAACTGCTCAAGTTTCTAATTTCAAATTTAAATTTTTTTCAACTTTTTTCTTCACCATCTACATTCAAATTTATTTTTTCATATTAATAAATGTTGACATGCTCTTGCCGAGTTGTCAAAATCTCAACTTACCGGGCGGTATATCTAAACGTCACATCAACCAGACCGGTATATCAAAACTTTCCAGAGCCAAACTGGTATTTTGTTGTTGACAACGCATCTAAATTTGATAGAACTATCATATTATTGAAAACATTTAATAAGTCGCTATCAGGACACTTCTTGGAGTATAAACAGCTCTGTTGACTAACAAGATTGTGCAAATCAAAGTTAAGGAGATAAATAAGGTATATAGACCATATCGTAGGTTTTCAATTTCATATCACATTTAATATGCAACCAAATTCTCGGGACTACTATATCTGGAACCAAATGTCTAAAAAAAATCAACCTTCAAAACAAAATCCAACTTAACTTTTGTTTTTGTAATTAACACCATCAGCATTACCTTCCACACTATTAGCGGTGGATATATATACTGGTTTTTTTTAATAAAAAATGTGAGACGATAGCATTAAATAGTAGACAACAAAACGACAATTAAGAAAATTAAATAGTAGACAGCGAAACGAGAATTAAGAAAAATGAAGTCAAATTTTGTTTTGAAGCACAATAATTCAGGATAAAACAATATAACATTCATCAAAAAAAAAAAAGTGTTCATATTTCCAGCTGCTACTGTTCAAATTTCACCTACATGTAATATTGCTAATGCATATTCCAAATGTGTACATACTCACAGATTGTTAAGCTTAAACTTAGCAAAAGTTAACAGTGTTCTTAATTCAGCTCTTGTAGCTTAAGTTTAGCATCATAGCACATCAATCAAATAAAAAAAACATTCAACTACTAATCCTCCCTCCAATTCCGGAGCAAAAACAAACAAACACCACAATTACCACTGTTTTAGCATTCAAAACCTAAAACGAAGCCAAAAAGTAGCCATGCACTAGCAAAAAATAAATAAAGATAAACAATAATCTATCTAAACAATTCAAAGTTATCTACGTTTCGCATTACAATAAACACAGAATTAGAAATTGATTCGTGAGCTTACCTTATCTTTTGCCATTAATCCATTTATCCACGAGAGAGAGAGAGAGAGAGAGAGAGAGAGAGAGGATCAGATTAAAGAAAACTTGGTAGAGAGAGAGAGAGAGAGAGATTAGAAGGAGTTCCCGCCTCTCAGATCGAATCAACAAAAGGAGGGAGTTAGGGTTTTAGTTTTGGGGGGAATTGAAAAATAAAGGGAGCTAAGAAGTCGGTCGATGACGACGCTCAGCCCTTTGTGTAACAAAATGACTTTTTTCTCTCATCACCGCCAATAAAAGAAGAAAAGCGGTCTGTGAGTGACCCTATCTCTCTCTCTTATCTGGGCCAACGTCGCGCACACGCATTGCATTGCTCAATGCATTTCCTCACTATTGTGCGCTTCCGGCGCACATACTCACACACCACAGATCTGGAGTTTATTTATTTATTTATTTATTTTTAGGTCAATTACAAATACATCCCTAAAGTAGGTTTGAAATACGAATTTTCTTCCGTAATTTAGAAAATTATAAATATCTTCTTGTCAGAATTTTTTATTTAATAGAATTAATTGAAAAAGTAAAATTTATAACTATTCACCTACACAATAATAAAATTATTAAATTGTTAATTGAAATAAAATTTTAATATTATTAAAAACTGTTAATTAACTTGATGATTTATCAATAAAAGAACATATTTATTATGAAATTATAAACCTTAAGGAGCATAATGTAATTTTTAAAATCACAATAATAATTTATAATTTAAGTAAATCTCAAGAGGTGTGTTTGTAATTTACCCTTATTTTTTTTGTTTTAAGTAAGCCTCTTGAGGTAAAATATTTTAGTTATTTATTATTATTTGATTAAACAAAAAGTAAGTAAAAATATTTTTGCATAATTTTTTCAAAAATAATTTGTTTTTAAAATTTGTGTAAGTCATTTTTATAAAATTGATTCTCATTCACTATATTTTTAATACATTTTGTCTTTTTAAATAAATATCTTAACTTATTAAAAAGTCATAAACGATATTTTATTAAATCAAAAAAAAATAGGCAATAACATGTTTTGTCCAAATGTCAACCAAATATTGAAAAACAAAAATAAAATAAAATAAAAAACGTGTAAATCAATTTACAAGAAAGAAAAAAAAATTGTAAAATATTTTACGCCGGTATAACCGGAGCCTAAATTACATTCACCTCCCTTAAAATATTAAAAAAATACAATTAACTTTATATTTTTTATATAATTACGCTGACTTTTCTTTTTGTAAGATTAAAGTGATTAAAATTAATGCACATCATGAGTCAACATTAAAATAAATAAACATATATGTTTTAGCATAGACTGACACATTATTAGTAAAAAAAATGGTCTACACGTTAAAAGACTAAGGGGTAATTGTATTTTTTTAAAAATTTCAAGAAGTCCATGTAATTTATTTATACATTTTTAAAATAAAATTGATTGATTTTTTAAAAATTTTAAATTAAAATCATTTATGTTTTAAGTTCTTCTAAACTAGATGACATCTAAATATTTAAGAAAATAAAATTTAATTAATTTTATCCAAAAAATAAAAATAAAAATAAAAATAAAAATAAAAAACTAAAAAGTTCGTTTTTGAAAATTTTTTAGAGATTTTTTTATAAAATAAAATAAAATATTTTAACTTTTAAGACCATTTATACCGACTTTAAAAAAATAAAAATCAACTCAAAATAAAATAAATAAATAATATTAAAGAGCGGCATTGGGCCGCTGTAACGATAGCAAGACCAGACGAAGTGGGCTGAGCCCAACTCTGTTGATTTGCATGGGCCTTCAGTCGGTGTGTTCCAAAGCTTTGATGGATGAGATTAAATGAAAATTTGGAAAAAGTGTTATTTGTGCGGAATAAAATTGAAAAATTAAAAAAAAAATTAAAAAAAAAACTCAAAATGAATATATATAATCTTTTTGTTTTAGAAAATTCTTGATATATTACAATCGATATTTGTTTTCTATATTCTATGCCAAAATTTAGGTTGGGTCAATCTAGCATTTAGAAGGGGTTGTATTTTTTTTTTTTTCTTTGTTTTGTATATTTTGTTATATTTTTTCCCAAGTTCTAAACAAAATCTTAATTACTAAATCATTGGTACATTTTTTTTTATTATCATATTAAACATTTAAGAAGTTAAAATATGATCAAAGTACATGACAAACTTTTAGTTTTAAATTTCATTCCTATTATATTTTTTGTGATTTGGCATCATTTCATTAAAAAAATTTGATCTAAGGTTTTTATTTTTAAAATTTTATTTTTTCTAAATCTTAATTCCAAAAATAAATAAATCTTTATTAGTACCACTAGTACCTTTATGCTGTGTTTGGTTTGGGGATTTGATGAGGGATTTGAAAAAGGAAAGGGAAAAGGTGTGTGAAACTACGTGAAATATAGGCATGTTTTATTCACATTTCACCTACCTTTTTCATTTTCCTTTCCAAATTTATCCCCAAATCCCCCAACCAAACACAGCATTAAAGTGGGCTTGCTAGAACTAGGGTTAACGAGTTGGGCTCAACTGCAACTAAAATTGTTGACTGAAAACATGGCCCCTTTAAAGAGAATTAGTTTCGGCCTAATAAAAATAATTGCAAAGTTCTGGCTATTACATATAAAAAATGGGGAATTAGACTTATTTATCAGATAAATTTATTTTAATTCTCAAAGATAAATTTATCATTTTCATTTCCATCTAAAATAATAATAAATTTATCGTAATAATTTTTTTAAAAAATATAATTCAACTACTGACAGTTATTACATCATATTTAAATGCAAATAAATTAAAATTCACAAATATTATTTTGATAAAATTTCAGTATCTTTACCGGTAATAAATATCTCAAAAACACAAAATACATCTAGAAATTTAAATAAAATATAAAAAAAAGTCATTATCAAAACAATAGGTAAATATGTTGGAAAAAATGGTTTTTTTGTGACTTTAATTAAATATTAAAGTGGGTCCCAACCATCTATTGTGTTTGGTCCAAGTGGGTCTAGATACTTTGCATTGAGATCTTTACACCACAGATAGAATGGCCAAAAACCATTGAGATTTGAATGAGAAATTACCTCATGAAGTTAGCTTCATGGAAAAAAGGTAATGAAGCTTGTAACTTCTGCATTTATTACAGAGTTTAATAGAGTATTAATGGGGTTTGTAACTCCTGCATTAATGGGGTTTGTAACTCCTGCCTTTATTGCAGAGGTTAATGGTGCATTATAAACAGCCATAAAGGCTGGAGGCTCTTCCTTTCTCCCCTATACATGTATAAATTGAGACCCTCCTGTCAAGTCTCAAACACAGAAATTGTTTCTTCCATTCTTTAGTCAGTTTGCCAAAAAGTTCCTACTATGAGAAAGTGCTGCCACTGTTTTGTTCGCTAAGCTAGACAGATAGTGCTTCTGTCGTAGCTAGTTTTGACCGTCGTATCCTGGGAGATAGACGCCGGGATTCCTCAAGCACTCGACCTGTGAGGCGTCGAAATTTGTTTTAACCGTCGTATCCTGGGAGATAGACGCCGGGATTCCTCAAGCACTCGACCTGTGAGGCGTCGAAATCTGTTTTAAGGAAACTGCTACCGTGCAGGCTTCGGTTTCGTTTCTTTACCCTTTTATTATTGTGTATTTATGTTAAAATTTAGTTATAATTATCTACATGTGTTCTTGGTATATAATTTGATTTTTTCATAAATCTATTTATTTAATTTCACAATATTGAACAACAAAATATTTAAAAAGAAAACTCACTCAGCACTTACGAATTCAAGTCTCCTTATCCACTCCCACCATATCCTATTCTGAAAATAAAAAATTGAAAAAAAATCAAGGCTCATATTTTTTATTATACAATTCACTTATTTATAAATGCTATGACCAGTAACCAAGATGAAATGAATCTTCTGGGCAACCCACAAAGCAAAGGAATCACTGGTAAAAGAGATCTTAGAGATCATATAAAAAAAAAAAAAAAAAAAAAAAAAAAAAAAAAAAAAAAAAAGGATAAATTACATTGACACCCTTGAGATTTGGTTCAATTATTATCCACCCTTTGACGTTTTAGAAATTACATTCCCACCCCTTTGGTTAATAGTCTCATTTCATAAATCTCCCTACTTATATAAAAGGTAACAACTCCTAGTAGAAAAACAGAGGAAATTAAATTTTAAAAAAAAAGTAAAAGAAAAGAGGAAAAAAAAGAGAAAGTAAAGCAAAGTAAAAATAAAGAGAGTTCATGAGTTCAATGTTTTCATTCCGTCAAAATAATTACAATGACAGGGGGGTTAGCGTAATTTTCCAAACGTCAGGGAGTAATATGTATTAAACCAAAATCTCAGGGGTTGTAAGCGTCATTTACCCAAAAAAATATTATAAAAAATAATTATGAAATATTCTTTATTTTTAAATTACAAATACAATAAAATATCATACACTAATTAAAGAATAAAAAAAATTATAAAATATTTTATAATAATCTTTTTACAATCCCTAATATTATTCTTGGTAAAAATTCAAAGGAGTTGGCAAAAGTAAGAAAAATTCTTGGGTACAGATAGGGTACCATCTGACATGTCGCATGGTTCCTTCAACTAATCACAAATACCATGACCTCTCATGTTGTCTCCTTATCACTCAACACAAAAATATAGTCTCCACTATCTCAATCACCTTTAAGTAGCACATGACATTACCTATCTGTCGTCAAAAAATTCTCCAAAAGTAGAGCTGTATGCGCACGTTAGAAGTTGCCCCCCACCGTGTTATAAAAAAAAAAAAGGCACGTCAGTGGGGTTCGAGGATGTTTCCTGAACGCCGCGGGCGTATTCCGCCCCCACACCCCCCAACCTTCGCGTGCGAACGTTTTTTAACTTCGAAAAACTAAACGCGACGTAACAGTAGATTTCCATCACCATTTTCTATTCCCACGTTTATTCCACTTCGGCCTCTTTTTGACCTGACGTTAAAAATCATTTTTTTAATTTTTAATTTCTTTTAAGTTATGTATTTTTTTAAAAAAAAATTAAGAAAAACTAAAAACTTAACTTTTAAATCTAATGGTCAAAATAATCCTTCATGATAAAGAGTGCGTATAATATTACATACTATGGTTGTATTAGTTTGGGGATAAAATTATATTATATTAGCTTGTTCAATCTTCAATTTTATGTTTGGATATAAGTACAGTCCCTAAACTGTACATACCTGCAGGGGTGTTTGGAAAGTTGAGTTGGTATTTTTTTTTTGATTAAAATAGTTAATAAAAATAAAATAGATTAATATAATTAATAAAATAAAAGAAAAAATTATAAAAAAAAACCCCAGAGTTT